GATGAACCCGTGATATGCTTTCTTTTATCACGTGACCGACATCTTTTGACCGATAAACTATATTTTATTACTCGAGGGTATGAAGACCAAGATGGAGCGGCCTTTTGTGTGGTCGCAGTCTCCTTTCGTTGCATAGAAGTTGTTTGACCTTGTTTTCACAACTTGGTCATATTGGTAGGAAGACCTAGAGGCACACACCTTGTTCGGAGTCCATACTATGCATTGTCATTTCCAGTGTCGGACCGTGGACTTGCTACATTCCCAGACGTTTCGCCGGCATCGTCAGTGAGTCATGCCATTCTTAGCACCACAGTACAACTCTTCAAAGAGACAAGTGAAGACGATCCTTTGACCAATTGTCTGCTAAACAATTGTGGTATCTCTCCTGCCTTGGGATGTTCACCTATCCTATATCCTCGTATCATGCATTCACTATCACAATTTTACTTGTTTATTTAAATGTGGTATGGTCTGCCCTTTGAGTGGCTTTCATGAGAACTCTCCACGCTCCACACTGGCCTTCTCGCCCCCTTCACCCCCCTTCACCCTCGTGCTGGGAATGTTGATCAGAGTCTGCCACATTGTTACGCAGTCCTCCTTCCCTAGGTCTTGTCACAGTCTCCCTCTTGCCCCGTAGGATTCGTCGGCTATCTCCCTGGTTCAAATAGTTACTCGACCTCTGCCACCCCATCTGTTCTACTCGATGCGTTATTTCACACATTCTGCGTCTGGGAGACTAACTCGGGGCTAAAGCCCCTGAGTAATTCTACTGGCCAAGTCTTTGCTTCACGGACTGTCAATCAACTATCTCTAGTCTTCGCCGCGTCTAGCAGGATAGACCCAATCAGAAACTCCTGTACAGAGTGCGAAAATATGATTCATATAATGTTTTGATGCTACCACTTTATACCTCATGTTACGATAAGTATAATTAATTTAGTATATTAAACGAAAGTATCAAGACTAAGATGGTGTGGTCTTTTTTGTGGTCGCAGTCTCCTTCTGTTGTATAGAAGTTGTTTGATCTTGTTTTCCCAACTTGGTCATATTGGTAGGAAGACTTATAGTGTATTAGTATATTAAAGTTGCGTAATACATTTTCATTCCATTCACTGAAATATGCCAGTCGAGGCTAATCAAAAATTATTCAAAACCTACGGTCAATTATGAGTAAAGTAATGCAGTATAGAAGGCAAAAACAAAGATCTTATCTACAAAAACAACAAAATTTATTTTACCAAATTGAACGCCGATGGTGTCCAAAAAATTGATTTTGCATGCACAAATGTAAACAATTAACAAATTTCTCTGGTTTACTAAAACCTTTGATTAGCGTTGTTTGATCTGCCATCTCTCTCATGATTTCCTTAAGTTGCCTCAAGTTGCCGAAAACTTTTTTGTCTCAACACATTTTCATGCTTTGATCGATGTTGGGCTCAGCATCTGTCCTGTTTTAACGTTTCCAAACCAAGGAACATTGTTTCGTATTCTTTGGTGGTGGTTTCCTTCATCTGTGCACTAGCAACTTCTGTTTCGTCACTGTCCTCCTTCAATTCATGCCGTTGATCTTAATCCTTTCCTGTACTCTTGAACACTACTAACTGAATTTTGACGTGCATAACATGCGGCCTGATGCTAATTTAGAGCTCGTGCTAAATAGAATTGCTCACTATTCAAAATAGTTTAAATCGCGACCTGCCTATATAGATAACATGTAGCGCCGCCGTCTTTTGGTGGCATCGGCTCTTGAATCTCTTTAGCAAAACGCTTTAACTTGAAATGTAGGGAAGATCGACATGAGTTACAATAGGCATGGCTTTATGGTTGCCAGCCGGTTCGTTTGGTGGAATTTTCGCGCATCACCCATTGGCTACAAACGGGCTATCAGAGTTCCCTCTGCTCAGTTATGGTCCCCACTGGGACCTCGAGTTCCGCTCCGCCAAGGTTGGTCTCGTGTGGCAAGACTTGAGTTGTCAGTGGAATGTAAGAGGAAGTCGAAACGGAGACATTGTTACAACAAAGTAGTAAGTTGTCGTACCTTTTCTTTGGTGTGATAAGGAGGCTGGGAGGGATTTGTAGGTTAGCCAGGCGTCATTGGCATCTTAGAGGTAAATAGTTTGTTTAACGCAAAAATACTAACTACACGTCAGATCCCAGACTAAAAACTGCCACAAAGCAAGAGTATCGAAAAATAAAAACACTAAGTCGTTTGACTGGAAGCAAAATAGAATCACAACAAATGGGCGGAATGTTCAAACGAGCTTGTTTTGCTTTGTCAACTTGTCTGCTTTCTAGCCCCAACACCTTTAATGTGGCCAAGTTACAAGTATGACGCTTATGAGGTTGTGATGGCTAAACCTCCCAGTTTTCTGAATTGTCTAAGTCACGTCTAAAAGTTTCTTGCCCACTTTTCAATAAAAAATCTGTCGGCTCTACCTGAGGTATGCTCGCTTGATCTTAAAAGCCTCTTGTGTCACAGTCATTTTCGATATTATTCTTTAAATTCTCTGCATTTTGCACACCTTGGGCTATCTTAAGCAATAGCATTGGTTTGATCTCGTTTTCGCAACTTGATCGAGGAAGACTTTGTGGAATGCACCGCATCAACGGTTTGATGCTGGGAATTATAATTACTATGACAGAGGACTTCGAACTAGGTGCGTTAAATTAAGTTGCCTTGACAACAAGACCAAGTTGCGAATTGAAAAGGACTGCGACCACATCATCTTGCCGTTCATATATACGATCGTATGCCCTGCTCCATGGAAGGCTGATTGTCCAAGTTTTGTAAGGTTCCGTTTTCTACCGATTATTCGGTCAAGCGACATTTGGCAACTAAGCAGGCAATCACACAATATATTATTGGATATTTGATGTGTATGTTTTAAAACTATGCTCTTATTTAAAATCCACCAATAGTTTCTAAGTCTGCCTGCACTGGAGTTAAGTAGCCTTGTCGAATGTGAGGGCAGATGAACTTTTTCCTCACCGACTAATCTGTTATAAATGCGATTTGAAAGAGTCCTGGCTTACATTAACAGTGAAATCTTCCCCGTGAGCAATTGGCTCCCACTCTTGAATGTGAGATTTAGTCTTCTCATCTTGCCCACCATGTTTGTTGTCTGGTTTAGAATCACGTTGATGGTTAAAGCTTATAGGAAGAAATTTTCTTGTTAGGAAATTCAATTAGTTCTTTGTGACTGATCAACTAATTATTTATGACCAATTTGTTGAATGTACTGCAATTTGTCGAACACGGTGGGGATCCGTCTCGCTTGACTCTTGTTTTCTACCCTTTCCACAAACAACCCCACCATCCCGCAGCAATCACTTCGAGCTCAGCCTCAGCTCATCCTTGAGCTGCTCGACTTGTGCCACCAGACCGCCGTCTCACTCCAACAACAGCAACATCAACAGCACCAGAAGCAGCATCGCCTCCAACTCTCCTCACCCCGTCTGTCCTCCCTTTGCACCACTTTTTCTCATCGCCTCGGCTCGGTTATTGGCTCCCTGGCCTCCGGATTGGCCGATCTCCGCGGCCAACTAGCCCTCGCCGCTGCCGCTGACGCCAACGTCAACGCCGACGCCGAAGTCTCGCAACGGACTCACTCGCCGTCGGCTCGATGGACCGCTCGCCTGACGGCTTTCGTCAAGCAGGCGGTTGCCGTGGACTGGGCCGTTGCCTTGCCGAAGCAGGGAGCCGCCGAGGTGTGTTTACACCCTGTCCTGGACCTCCTCGTCCGCGCCTCATCGCTTCCCTCTTGGAGCCAGGGGCAGTGGAAGACCACTATTGCCTCACTGGTCGATGGTGCCCTGAACGAAGCG